ATAAACCAACTTTGATGAGTTCCTGTTTTTCTTGAATAGATTGAATCCAAATCTGAAATCTTCTGAAAATGACAGGTCTGATTCAAATCTGTACTTAATCAAGTCGGCAATTTGCCATCATGCGAAGACAATAGGACATCTGAATGTCAGTCAGTAACCAGAAACTAGAGTATAAAGACATGATGTTAAGGACTGAAGCTCCAAACTAAAACTAGTTAACAGTATCCAGGCCAGGTATCAATCTTTAACGTAGTTCTCCATAGAAATGTAGAACATGCAGGTGAAGCAATCATCTCATAAAATACATTAAAATCTATAGTACAAGGAAGAAATGTTCAAGTACGTTCTATATCATAGAGCTTATGAGCAAAATGAGACCCACAATTATAGTGCTCAAAGAGTATCAGACTACTACCCAAACCATGCAAAAAAGAGATTCATTCATATCAATTCATTACATGACTGCTAGATTTCAGTGCCCCTCACCAAAAGACAATGCTATAGATATAGGAAAAATCAAAACGGATAATAAGCAAGAAACAACAAAATGACCAATAGTAAACCTAGAACTGTTTCAATTGCATTTGTGATAGTCAAAAACTCAGAATAACAAATTGTATAATGACTAAATTTGATAACAAGAATACTGGTAGCTAGTCCATTTAAGATCATGCAGGCTGCAGAAACTAATTCAAAGCTTAGGTCCCCTGGTTCTCATTTCACTGCTCCATTTATTAGACCTTCTTATTGGGCTCAAATACATACTTAACAAGAGAATCTTTGATGGACAGCAACTCAGGAAACTCTGCCTTCAACTTTGAAGCGTCCATCTCGTTATTGCTCCGAGCAGCAACTATGACTTTGGCCTGCTCTTCCAAAGTGAAGTTCTCCCACTTAAATTTGGGGTCAATGTATGTTTTATACATCTCCAAGATCTCATTATGGCTCACAACACCAGGATTGGTGAAGTTCCAAATCCCCTTCAAGTTTCGCTTTGCCATCTCAACTGATATTGGAAGAAGCTCGTCTAAGATAGTCATGCTGTTCGGTATGTTCACCACCTTGTTATAGCGAGATATCTTTGTAACGAAGTTACGTGGATTGGTAAGGTCCGAGGAGATGGGCATTCGGACTCGCAGGGTGCACGCATTCTCATATTCTTTCAGAAGCTCTTCCACCTGCATGATAAATCATACAACACTTAAATACTACTTTTGCAATCAACATATTTTGATATATTTTATTGTACATACACCCTTTAAATCATGCGTATGTGCAAAACAACCCCCAAATCTCAGTATTTGCAAAACTATCCCTCAACTCTCAGTATTTGCAAAACTACCCTCAAATCATTAACTTCGGGAAAAAATACCCCCCAAATCAACAAATCATCAACTTTATTGGTGATAAAAGTTTTGAGTATTTTCAGTTATGAATTCGACCATCAAAATTGATGATTTGTTAATCTGCAGAGGCTTTTGGGAGAAATTTTACAATATGCAAGATTTAAGGAGTATATATACAAAAACCCCATTTCTATAACAGGAAAGGACAGCAGTTTACCATTGCCTTGGTCTTTGAGTAGAAAGAACCAGCAAAGTTCGGTGTGTCTTCTTCCTTGAACCCAATACCAGACCCTTCAGGGTGTTGTTTGTCATACTCAAATATACAACCAGTAGCATAATTCATCACTAACAACCCATGCTGCCTGCAAACATCCGCTAGAGTCAAAGTGCCTACAACGTTGGTTCTGATTGTTTCCGGTTTATGGGACTCACACCAGTCAACATTTGGCCTGCCAGTTACACCAGCAGCATTAAAAACATGTGTTGGCTTCGCATTCTGAATATCCTGCAGCAGAAGAGAACGATCCTCGAGCCGTCCCTTACCATATTCATATGGTATCCCTTGTTTCTCACATATTTTCCCAAGAAGACCTCCAATCCACCCAGTTCTGCCATAAATCAAGAACTTCAATGAAGGCCGAGGAGAAGTACATGATTTTAGAACTGGAGTCACCATTTTCTGAGTATAGTCGACTGTTGGCTTAGCAACCAAGCTCCTAATCTCTTCATCATCTAACTGCCTCTCGGTCCCTGGCATCATCTGCATCCTTGGATGAGGCAGCAGAGCTCCAGAAACATCTCCCCAGTAATCAGGGTTGTTTGTGTACCACTCCATAGTCTTCTTCAATCCCTCTTCCCATGAGGTCTTTTCTGACCATCCTATTTTCTTCAGTTTCTGGTCATCAAGAAAATACCTCTGATCGTTGAAAGGCCTGTTCTCTACAAACTTAATGACATTATCTGGGTCCAGCGAGAAAAGCTTGCAGACATCTTTAGCCACATCAATCACCCTCCTTTCTTTCTTCGTTCCAATATTATAAACATGGCCAACTTCTCCTTTGTGAAGAACCACCTCAAAAGCCTCTGCAACATCCTCGCAATATAGATAGCTTCTAACATTAGAACCATCTCCATGAATTGGAAGCTGTTGCCCTCTCATAGCCAGCAGAATAAATTTTGGAATAAGCTTTTCTGGAAACTGATTCGGTCCGTAGACATTATTTCCACGAGTAGTTATAACTGGTAGCCCATATGACCTTCCATAGGCCATAACAAGCATTTCAGCCCCGGCTTTAGTTGCAGAGTAAGGGTTTGTTGGGAGCAGCTGAGATGCCTCGTGATTTCCAACCATAGCATCCTCATCAGTCTCCCCATAGACCTCATCAGTGCTGACATGAATGAATCTTCTAATTTGGCCGGTGACCTTGCAGGCCTCAAGGAGGACATGGGTTCCATAAATATTATTCTTGGTGAACTCAAATGAGTTTCCAAAGGAATTATCTACATGGGTTTGTGCAGCAAAGTGCATAATGGTATCAATGGACTCGGTGATGAGGAGGTAATTGACAAGGTCAGCGCTGGCAATATCACCCTTGACGAATTTGAAGTTGGGGGAGGAGCGAGAAGGGGAAAGATTTTTTAGGTTAGAGCAGTAATCAAGCTTGTCGAGAACGACAATCTTGTAGTCTGGATAACTACGGATGAGGCGGTTAGCAACATGACAGGCAATGAAGCCAGCTGCACCAGTGATGAGGATGTTCTTGGGTTTATATGTAGCCATTTTCTCTTACTTTTACTGAACACACAAAAAAATACAAGCATCATCTCCAAGTCACATCTCGCAATCAAATAGGAGAAGAAATGAAGAACAAAAAAGAAACTTCTAATATAGACAATTATAAAAATGCAAACGGACAAAAAGCAAGATCCAAAAGCACAGAAAGAAAATAATCACATAAAAACAGCTTAACGAGATTCAGAGCAAGTCCTACATCCTCGTGTAAGCAACAAATGGTTCTTCTTATTATTCAAAGAGCAGAAAACATATAGACTTTAGAGAACTAACGATGTCCAAGTGATATATTTCATTGAAACTTATATTGGTCTTCCGTCTTCCAACAATTGCTTAAATGCAACGAAAGAATCCTTGAAGTAAAAATTCAACCATATTTTAAACAAGTATTTTAATAATTTTTCAATCCAACAAATACGCAAGCAAGAGCTATCAATCTTTTGTTCAGCAAGACCAACAGCTTTTTAAAATTCCCTTAAGGCACCAAATATCTTGAAACTGGAAGTGTTGAGTTGGTGAGGCTCCATCTTCAAGGTGTGATGTATGGACAAGATGTGTCCACATCACTACCAAGGATCATTGGTACCAAGTATACCCATTTTTCTCATATATATATATATATAGATAGAGAGAGAGAGAGAGAGAGAGAAAATGGGTATACTTGGTACCAAGCACAAAAAGTTGTGCTTAGTAGTGAGGTGGCATAATCTCCTCCGTTCATTCAAGTGGTTGTATATCCCCATGCACTTCTCAACTCACGTGAAGAATTCTTATTACGACCTAACTCTTGTTGTGCTGTCGAAGTGCTGCCGAAATTTCCGCTGCGCGCAACAATATATATGTATTTGTTTTCAAGCATCAGATGCTAAGTTAATATTCATATGTTTAAGACGTTCATATGTTTAAATTAATATCTTGCTTTACCTATTGTGAACACTATTAGAACATTAAGCTGCTGATATCATTTGTCTGCGGAACAATAAGGTTTACAAAAGGCTTCAAGCATCTGTGTGCATATTGTCTGATATTATTAGTTATTACTTTATTATTATTTTAGCCTAGCAAAGTCTTGATACAGATCTTTCATATCATATTAAACTCTTCATGTATATGTCTCAGTTTCTAAACTAATTTGTTACTGGCATTACAACTTTTGCTTGGTTTGTGAAACATAGATCTCTGCAGTTATCTATTTGTGCATATCTATATTAACTGCGCATTATATTTATTCGTAATATTAAGTTTAGATTTCTAAAAAAAAAAAAAAATTGTTTCAAAACTCAATGTTATTCATTTGAGTTACTGCAACTTTGTTTGTCCTTTAAAATCGTATCAATTGCTTTTGCTAATCAATATTCATTTGCTTAGTTCATTTGTTAGTACATGTTGCAACTATACTATATAGTGCCCTTTTTATACTCTTTCTAAGAGTTAAAAGAAACATTTTATTCATAACTTTGCATAACCAGCAAAGCAATTTTATATATGTACGTTTAATAGTTTCAGTGTGCATATACTTCATATTTATCCATTTTTGATAACATATCATTGTGAGTTTTATTTTTCTTCAATTTTGTGAGCCATTGTCATATAACTCTAAGCTTGTACCTCGCAAACAATTCTTTTGTCAGATCCTTTGAATTATCAAGACTAGCAATTTTATTTTTAGACTTTATGGCTAATGTTGATATATCTAAGTCCGTCAAACTTGAGAAGTTTACCGGTTTGAACTACAAACGGTGGGCTAATCAGATAAGATATTGGCTTACAACTTTAGGACTTATTTCTGTTATTGACTCTGACTCTTCTATATCAACACATACGCCCTCTTCATCATCATAAGCTGAACCTACCTCCACACCTACCACATCATCCGCAAATTCCAAATCTCCTGAGGAAATAAACTTTCATTGTTACAACTGAATCCTTAGTGCTCTTTCAGACATATTGTATGGCAATTATTATAAGGATGCAAAAGATTTATGAGTAGCACTAGAGTCTGAATACGGTTTAGATGATGTCAGTATGGAACGTTTCTCCTCCTCCTCCTTTAATAAGTTTGTTATGGTAGATAGTAAACTCATCAATGATCAGCTCCATGAATTTCAAGACTACATCTGATACCTTCAGTTGAAAGGAAATACTTTCTCTGAAGAATATAAGGTATCTAGTCTTATTGATAAACTTCCACCTTATTGGTTTGACTTTTCTAAGGATCACTGTCATCTACAAGTTGACTTGACCCTTGTACAAGCCCTCAAAGGTATTAGGATAGAGGACCAATATAGGAAAAACTCCAAGCCAAAAAATGAAATGAAAGCAAAAGTAAACCTAGTGGAGGAAAAGCCTAAGAACTTTAGAAACCCAAATCACAAACCCAAGAGCAAGAACTTCATGAAAAAGAATCATTCCCATCGTCCTAACCAACATCCCAATCTCTCTAGAAACCACAAACTTTTTAGTCGAAAGTCTGAGACTAAATTTTGCTATGTCTATAGGAGAACTAATCATCTTTCGACTCAGTGCTTCTACCGAAAGAAAGCTCCTATCAATACTCATGTAGGCGAAAATGGTGGAGAAGCAAGTCATAGGGTCAACATGGTAGAAAATAACTCAGACTCCTTTAGGTTGGCTTTCTCTTCTTATGTATTAAATTTTACCACTTTTTCTGACGACCGGTGGTTAGATTCTGGAGCAAATATTTACATTTCTTCTGACCGCTCTTGGTTTTCAACTTATCAGGAATCAAGTGGAGGGAGTGTAATTCTAGCAGATGACTCACTGGACAAGTAATGGGAAGTGGACGTGTGGACCTAAAGATGACTTCCAGAAAGATTTTGACTCTCCACAATGTCCTACATGTACCATTACTTAGAATAAATCTGATTAGTGAATCTGTTTTATTGAAAGTTGGATTTAGAATTGTCAAAGAGTCAAATAAGTTTGTAATTACCAAGAATGATATTTTCATTGGTAAAGGTTTTGTTTGTGATGATCTTTTTAAGTTGAATGTAATAAGACCTTTTGATAATAAAAGTTTTTCTTCCATAATCTTAAATGTTGAATCTTGTGACTGTAATGACCATGAATTTTCGTTACTAGTTAAAATAATTTTTTTGGTATTTTAAAATATTTAATTATTAATTTTAAAAGAGTATGTGTATTTTTTGATTTTCTAGAAATTCCTATGATTTAAAAATCCGATTTTATATTTATTTAATGATTCTGATTAACTTGTTGCGGTGTAAACTTTTAAATTAACATATGTTTTATTACTATTATTGTTATTATCAGTATAGTTAATAATTATAATAATTATTTACTATTTTTTATAATTTTTCCCTAATTAATTTCTTAATTATGTCTTAATTATAACCCTAACCCTTATATATATATATAGAGAGAGAGAGAGAAAAATGGGTATGCTTGGTACCAAGCACAAATTTTGTGCTTGGTAGTGATGTGTCACATCCTCATCCACTCAATACCCATGTGAATGTGGTCCCATATTTGAATGAGTGGAGGAGAATGTGACACATCACTACCAAGCATAACTTTTTGTGCTTGGTACCAAGCATACCCATATTGCTCATATATATATATGAGAAAAATGGGTATGCTTGGTACCAAGCACAAATTTTGTGCTTGGTAGTGATGTGTCACATCCTCATCCACTCACTACCCATGTGAATGTGGTCCCATATTTGAATGAGTGGAGGGGGATGTGACACATCACTACCATATACCAAATTGATAAAATCAGGATTTAATTTGTAATTGCAATTCAGATCTCAATGGTTTAACCACGGATCTTGTGATCTAATTTCGAATGGATACTATAATGAACACGCGTTAATATGGATCAAGAAGGTTCATTGCATCTAGATACTTGACAAAAATCACAATTACATGAATCAAAATGATTACTGATTACTCAAAACCTGACACTATAATAAACACGCGTTAATAGTTATCAAGGAGGTTCATTGCATCTAGATGCTTTACAAAAAAACACAATTACATGAATCAAAATGATTACTGATTACTCAAAACCTAATAAAATCTTCCATGAG